ATAAAATTACAGAACTTTTTGTGAGGACGGGGTGCGCGCGGGGGGATAAATGGCGGACACGACGCCGCCGCACGCAACCCGAGGCTGCGCCGGGTCGCCTGCTCCTTTTCTGACCGCGCGCGCCACCCGGCAACTCGCCCGGCACAAGGACGAGGAGGTACCCGCCACCGTGCACGCCGCAATCCTGGCAAACCTTTCGGTGTGGCGCAAGCAAGAAACCGGTCGAAAGACAACGACACCGACCGGGCACCTGCCCGAAGGAGAACAAGAACCTCACCTCATCCGTGTTGCTGCGGCGGTAGGTGCTGCCGCCCTCCGACAGGTTGGTGGTCGCGGCGGCGCTGCTGCTGCTGTTGCTGCTGCTGACGGCCGTGCTGCTCGCGGTCGAGCTGGACGCGACCGACGAGGGCCGCCGACGGCCGCGCTCCGAGTCGCCAGAGCTCCAGAAGCCGGCGTCTTCGTCCTCGTCGTCGCCGCCGAGGGACGTGCCGCCCTCGCTGCCGTCGCCGTCCTCGTCCAGCTCCTCCGGCCGCTCGGGGACGATGTAGAGGCGGATGCGGTACATGATGGCGGGGGCGGGGGGAGCCGCGAGCCGCTGCCGTCACCACCGAGGCCGTCACCGGCGCGGCATGCTCCGGAGGGGGTGCGTTAGTCCAGGGGGGATCCTCTTGACGGGCTCCACTGGGCGGAAGGCAACGCGCTTCTTACCGAATGTTCGAACTGTGTATTACGAGTAGAGATTCAACAATGGGGATTTTTCTGGGGAAAAAAAATTCGCAACCTTTCCAGAAAAAATCGTTGTTTTTTTTTAGTTTTCCAGGAAAATTTGATTAAATTTTACCTACTAAGGCAAAAGCAATCTGCCAACAATTTTTTTTTAAATATCATTTTTAAAGATTTTTCTGGAAAACTAAAATTTCTAACTACGAGCCTGGTCCTTGGGATGGGGCAGGACGGGTGGGGCGGGGCGCGCCAGCGTAAGACTGCACCGTGCAAGAGAGAGAGAACGTTCTGCGAGATGCATCCCCGCAGCCGCCACCTCTCCAGTCGGCCCGCGGGACGGCAGGTGCGCCGCACCAGCCGCACTCCGCGGGGTTACAGGAGATTTACGATAAAGAGCGCGTCCGAGCCGGTGCAAATGTCAGGCTGAAAGGGCGGGGCGGGGCGGGGCGAGGGGTGAGTAGTACGGAGGGGAGGACAGGTATCCGACAGGCGTCCGACAGGTGTCCAATCAGAGCACCGAACCGCTCCCTGGCCGGGTCGAATATGCACCGCCTTCTCGGCGGAATCAAACTGGTTTTGGCCCCGGAGAGTCGCACGTGCGTAATACTTGGCACTTGGCCTGGATTCATCCCCCCCCCCCACAAAAAAGGCGGAATTAGACCCGCGACGCCCCCTGCACTCCGCGGCGGCGTGGCGGGTTCGGAGGTCGACAACTCCTATGCAACTTTCATGCATCGTTTGCAGTGAGGTTTGCAGGGTTGCGGTCCCTTCTTCACCACTATCGCCTACTTCGGCGAAGAGGACGGCTTAGAATAAAAGCCACCCTCTATGAGCTGAGGTCACGTTTGAATTTATTCTCAGCGCGCCAACCGCGACCGCGGAATACGCAAAACGCAATAAAGTGCAACAGAACTCAGCTGTCGCCCGCGCAAGTCGTATTTTTGTTTTTATCGCCCACATTACGTTTTGTTAAAATGAGAATAGTGCAATTGCATTGCCTTGACGCAGGATGGAGATGTAGTGAGTGTGTAGAAGTCCCGCGCGGTGTAAGAGGTCGGATGAGTGGGAGAGAGAGAGACAGAGATTGGCGGTGCAGAGGAGCATGGCATGCGCTTCCCCCGCAGATGTATCTCTTTCGCACTTAGCCGAAACTCCATTAACGACAACAACTACAACAACAACCCGCATCTCTGTCTCGCACTTATAAATTGAGAGGGGAAGGGGGGGGGGGCGTAGAGGGGCAGACCAAACGGACGAATACGGACAGCGCGTGGCACAACAAACCGGCATGACGGACTGACAGTGAGGAATATACGCAGAACGTTACACGTGTGGGCCGCGCCAGGCCACGCCGCCGAGAGGGGAGGAGGAGGAGGAGGGGCACAACTGGACCAAATTGCAAAATGAAGCGAAGGGGAATCAAAGAATAAAATTACAATTTCGTCAGGGCCCTAAACGATTTTCCCCCCATATATACGTCGCCCGCGAAAATCCCCGGCAGCCTTACGTATTTCCACACACTCAATAATCCCTTGGGTGACTTTTGCGTTGATAAACTATGAACGTATTAATTGTGCAGGTGTGGTAAAGTATCAGCACTGTGTCAATAAATTGCAACGATATTGTTCGTTGATAGCCTTTTGACGATTCTTAACGAAACGTTTTTATAGTTAACAGTCCGCAAAGTTGTGGGTACTTATTGACAACATTGTTGTTACATTGCACTCAAAATATTTATAGCGAAGAGCAAAAACCTCGGAAAGGAATCTATAAGTGCAGCTTTTGTTGCATTTTTTTTATTAAATCAGATAGATTTTTTTTATTTTTTTCACTATTTTCTACTGAGGCTTAACGGCTGCTTCGACTTTGATATAGAGGAGTCTCATCCCAGTAGAGCTGAGTCCAATGCACAGATGGGCGGTTTTGTTTTCTGACCGCCGCATCGCCTTCGCGACCTGTAATCACCGCAAAGCGGGGCGGGGCGGGGCGCGGCGGGGCGGGGCCGTGTGGGAATCACAATCTCTAGTCATTACTCATCCCGGGCTGTGCCGGGCTGCTGTGCGGTTCGCTATACTAGTGCGAGTCAGTGCACTCTCAATCGCTACCCTCTCGAAAACTTTATGTCTAGAATGATACATATTTCTCCGAAACGCATCTATATATCTCAATCACGTCGGGTTGCGCGCACTCTGGGGAAACCAACACTGGAAACGCAAGTGTGTATGAAATGCAATATCATTTTTGACATCGAAGCGTGGCCACATTGTGGTCATGCCGCACTTGTGTGATTGTTAGTCCAAGTCAAGGGATGTAACGAACACTTCTCTCCGAGGAGAGTAAGACAGTCTATGCTTCTGCATTATGAGCAGAGCTTTAAGGGGTATGAAAAGGGGGGTGGGGGGATGATAGAGATGCACCAGGCTCGGTCCAGGAACAAGACAAACCAGCTCTAAACAAATAATAATCACACGTAGAGGGGGAAGTTTTATCCGAAGTGAGCACCTTACATTGCAGACACACACGCAAACACACGCACACGCGCGCGCAGGAGCGGGGTGGCGGCCAGACTCGCGAGTCGAGCTGAGGATCGCGACGACCGACAGGACGCGGGGCACAGGTGCGCGCGGGGCCGGTCGACCTGTACGAGCGAGCGCTGCGGGCGGACTGGACGCAGCGCAGAGGCCGCGAAGGCATCGCTGGAGGAGCGCAAGTCCAACCGGCCCGGCGGGCGGGGGGG